CTGGATCACCTTCCTCCGTCCAGTCATGAGTCAGTCAGCAGGCTCTTCAGATCTCTCTCAGTACTTCTGTCTGGGAGTTTGTAAAACCAGATGCTTGGGATGTCATTCTGTAGTGAAGAGTTAGACATTTGTCCTCTAGAAAGAGCTGTTTTGCCCTGGCTGGTTTGGCTCGGTGGTTAGAGCGTCAGCCTGCAGACCAAAGAGTCACAGGTTCGATTCCGGTCAAGGGCACGTACCTCGGTTGCAATTCATGCCTGGCCGTGGTCGGGGTCATGCGAGGGGCAACCAGTTGATGTGTCCCTCTCACGTTGATGTTTCTCTTCCCCCCCCTTCTGTCTGAAGATAAATAGAAAAAAATATCCCTCGGTGATGATTTGAAAAAAAAGAACTGTTTCTAACCTTCAGACCCAGAGTCTAAAGACAAGTGTGTATAGTATGCGAAGCCCCTGTGCCCTGCCCCCACCTGCCAGGCATTGAGGGCCCGCTGAGTAGCAGGTTCTGAGGCTGCTCCAGGGCACGACCCCCGGGCTTTCCCCCTGATTCTTCATGAAGATGACAGTTTGTATTGTTCTCATGGGCATTTGTGTGATGCTTTCTGTCTGCAGAGGCTGTGGTTTGGGGACTTGGGGAGGTAACCGTTAGCCCAGGTTAGCTTGCCAGCTCCGCCCTTACTGGTTATGCAACTTGAGCCCACAGAGTGATGACTGGCAATGGTCTTGGAGGTGTCATAGGCCTCATGCTGTGACCTGAGACAGATCAGCACAGTGTCTGCAGCAGCCTCTTAGGCTCAAAGAAGAGCAGTTTCCCTTGTCAGAACCAGGGCCAGAGCCTCAAAATGTAAACGGTGTGATCTTTCCAGGTACTAAAAACTTTTTGAAGCTATATTTTTAAAAGGGGTGTTCTGCTACAAGATAGATATGTTTCCACAAAAAATGTATTATAGCAGCTGCAGACAGATATAGGGAGGTGGTGGTGGTGGCCAGGCTGTGAGGCACAGAGCCACAGGGCCACAGTGGGTGGGTGGCCATTGAGGATCTGTTCTAACGGCGGGGGGCTTCACCAGCCACCCCTGGAACAGGGAAATCTAAGGTGGAGAGAATACTTGACTGGCAGGCTCCCTGAAGAGGGGAAGGCTGGAAACATTGTCCAAGGAAGATCTTGTCAAGTTTGCCAAGAAGTAGATGATGCTAATCCAGAAAGCTAAATCCAGATGTATAGGTATTGGATGGAAAATAGTCATCTTCACCACAGTATCATTTAATCATGGTTAATAGTACATTGGCTTGTTTTGCTTACCAGCAAATGTAGTAAAATCTTAGGGTAGTGGAATCTATTATTATTTAACATTCTGACCATTTGCCTGTGATGTTTTTTAATGATCTCACATCTCTAAACTGCAGTTACCTTTGAATTAGTAAAGTCAGGGAGGAGGATTTTTCAAAACAATTTGTTAAAGTTAAACACATTTTGAATTGAAGACTTAAATGTTTGACCTGAAACCATAAAAATCCTTGAGGATAACATAGGCAGAGGCAGTAAACTCTCTGACATTGCTCTTAGTAATATATTTTTAGAAATGTCTCCTTGGGCAAGGGAAACGAAATAAACACACGGGACCGTAGCAGACTAAAAAGGTTTTGCACAGCAAAGGAAACCACCAACAGAACCAAAAGACAACCTATCAAATGAGAGAAGATGTTCACCAATGATATATCCAATAAGGGGTTAATATCCAAAAGATATAAGGAACTCATACAGCCTAACACCTAAAAGACAAATACAGTCGTCCCTCATTTATCACGGTTAATCCTGCACCTGGTGTTGAAGGATTCCTGGGGTGTTCGAATACATAGGCCTACAGTCCATACGTACAGTAATTGTAATTGTAATTGTAATACAGGGGTGTATAATTGACTCAGAGAACCAAGCGCATGCTATATCATTTTCACTGTCTTGGTCAACTTTTTTTTTAATCCTCATCCGAGGACATTTTTCCATTTTGTGTTCAGATTGAGTGGGAGGGAGAGAAAGAGAGAGACAGAGAGAAATATCAACGTGAAAGGGACACATCGAGTGGTTGCCACCCGCACGACCCAACCAGGGCCAGGGACAAATTGCAACCGTGGTACATGTCCTTAGCGGGAACTGACCCCAGGTCTCTCTGGACCGCAGGCTGACGCTCTGACCGCTGAGCCAAACCGGCCAGGGCTCAGTCAACTTTTTAATGAATATATTTGAAAACACAATAGAGTGAATCCGCGAAAGTCAAAGCACAAAGTGGCAAGGGACGACTGTAGCCTGATTAAAAAATGGACTGAGGACCTGAATAGACATTTCTCCAAAGGACATGCAGATGATGCTGTCACTAATCATCAGGGAAATACAAATTAACACCACAATGAAATATCACCTCACACCTGTCAGAATGACTGTCATCATTAAGTAAACAAACAAGTGTTGGTGAGGATGTGGAAAAACGGGAACCCTCGTGCACTTTTGGTAGGATGTAATTTGGGATAGCCACTATGGAAAACAGTATGGAGGTTTCTCAAAAAATTAAAAATAGAACTACCATATGACCTAGCAATCACACTTCTGGGTATTCATTCAAAGAAATTCAAAACACTAATTCAAAAAGATATATGCATTTCTATGTTCACGCAGCATTATTTACAATAACCAAGAAAGATATGGAAGCAGCCTAAGTGTTCATCAATAGATGACTGGATGAATGTGGTACATATGCACAAGGGAATATTGCTCAGCCATAAAAAGAATGAAATCTTGCCATCAGACAACATGAATGGACCTAAAGGGTATTACACTAAGTGAAATAAGTCACACAGAGAAAGACCAATACCATATGATTTTACTTATATGTGTAACCTAAAAAATAAAATAAGTGAACAAACAAAACAGAAATAAACTCATGGATACAGAGTACAGATTGACGGTTGCCAGATGGGAGGAGGGTTGGAAGGCTTGGTGAAAAGGTGAATGGATTAAGAAGTACAAGTTGGAAGTTATAAAAGTACAGCACTAGGCACATAATCAATAATATTGGCCCTGGCTGGCTTTGCTCAGTGGTTAGAGTGTTGGCCCCTTGCACCAAAGGGTCAAGGGTATGTAGCTGGGTTGTAGGTTTGATCCCCGTCCCAGTTGGGGTCTTGTGGGAGGCAACCAATCTATGTGTCTCTGTCACATTGATGTTTCTCTCTCTCTTCCTCCCACTCTATCCTTGAGTGAGGATTAACAAAAAGTAATAATAATAATAATATTGTAATAGCCATGTATGGTATCAGATGGGCTGATCACTTTACAAGTTATATAATGTCTGATCACTGTGTTGTATAACTGAAAGTAATATAATATTGTATGCTAAGTATAAATAAAAAATACCAAAAAATGTGTTATACAAAAATCTGACAAAAATAACAAGGCTTTGAGAAAGAACATAGGTGGGGCAAATATTTAAAATTATATACAACAATAATAATCCTTGTAACAGTACTGACATAGTTCAAAGGACACGCTCAGTCCTAAAAATATCCCGGTGAACACAGGACTGCGCATGCACACACGTTAAGGAGGTGTGGGGGCAGGACGTGTGAGGCAGGGCCCAGGCTGCTGAGCGTGAAGATGAGGACAAAGCACAGCGATGAGGGAGAGTTCTCTGCCAAGCAGTTGGTTCTGAGGCAGCATTTAGCCAGACTAAGCCAAGAGGAAGACTGTGGGGCAAATGGGCATTTGTACTGTGTGTCCGTGACCTGTGTTCAGCTGGGCTAGTGTACTTGGCATTAGGTGGTTGTTCCCTGTTGATGCTAATCTACAGGGAAAATTGTATATGAAAGCAAAGCAACTTCTATGTCAACATGACCTTGTTCCCTGATTACATTTAGAGTAAATTGCATTCCAGACTATATGAAGCTCATTACCCCAACTGATTATTGATAAATAAGCCTATTTCTCATCCTGCTAGATTGGAACCTGAAATATGAAAACATCTTTAATTGTGGTGAGAAACATAACATTTACTATCTTAACTGTTTATACTAGGCACATTCACATTATGGAACTGACTTATTTTACAAAAGTGGAACTCAACCCATTAAAAAACTACCCATTTACTCCTCCCCCAATCCCTGGAAACCACCATTCTACTTTCTGTTTCTGTAAATTTGACTACTTTATTAAAATATCTTGGTTTTTTTTGTGTTTTGGTACTTGCCCCTAGCAGGAACCGAACCTAAGACTCTCTGGTCCGCAGGCCAACGCTCCAACAGCTGAGCCATTGACTACTTTAGATACCTGATATAATGGAATCACACAGTATTTGTATTTTTGTGACTGGCTCATTTCACTGGGTGTAATGTCCTCAAGGTTTGTCCATATTTTAGGATGTGACAGGATTTTATGAAACATGAAATCTTAAACACCTCAAAGTATGTCTTTTACCCCCAAATTTATTTGAACAAGGTCAGGCTGGGGTGGTAGAAGGTGGAGGTCCTTCCTGCTTTACTTCTGTAATGAAATAAGATTCTTGTTGAATCTTATCTTCTTTTTCCTTGTCATGTGATCACCCAGGTTTTTCCCTCAAGTTACTAGCGAAATTAACTCTTAAAAGCGGCAGATATTCTATGTTAAAAGACAATAATCAGCCCGGGCCAGTTTGGCTCAGCGGTTAGAGCGTTGGCCCACGGACCAGAGAGTCCTGGGTTCGGTTCCTGCCAAGGGCACGTACCTCGGTTGCAGTTTGTCCCCAGCCCCGGTTGGGGTCGTGTGGGTGGCAACCAGTGATGTGTCTCTCTCACATCGATGCCCCCCCCCATCTGAAGATACATGCAAAAATGTCCTTAGGTGAGGATAAAAAAAAAAGAAAGAAAATAAAAAACAATAATCAGAAGGGAAGCTACATCCGACCCCTTACACAAAGTGCCGTCTGTGAGTCTGTTTCCAGTGCCCGACCGTTTTAAACTCAGATCCGTGTGCTTCCATTGCAGAGAGCTCAGAGGTACGCTCAGCAGGTCTTGCAAAAGGAATGCCGACCCAGGTTTGCCAAGAAGGCCATGGCGCAGCTGTTCGAGCACAGGTACAGCACGGACGTGCCGCCCTTCATGAGGAAGGCCCCCCGCGGGCACGAGGCCGAGTCCAAGTACGACCCTCCGTTTGGATTCCGGAAGTTCTCCAGCGAAGTCCAGCACCTCTTGGAACTGTTGCCTGAGGACGGCCTTCCCGAACACCTGCAGGCCAAGAGCTGCAGGCGCTGCGTGGTCATCGGAAGCGGCGGGATTCTGCACGGGCTGGAGCTGGGCCCCGCCCTGAACCAGTTCGACGTGGTGATAAGGTACATTGGGCTGCGCCCACCTCCCTCCCACGTCCCTGCTGCCATCTGGGGAGGTAACTCCCTAAGAAGTTGAAAATCAAAACCATGAAATGATTAAATGCTGCAAACTGCGCAGTACTGACCCCGATTTGGCAAAACATTTTAGGAAGAGGTGAGGTTTAGAAGGGTGGGGAAGTTCCGATGAGCCCGCAGAGGCGGGGCCAAGAGGAGGACGTGGAGACTGAGCCGGGGGCGCCTGGCCTCCCGGCCGGGCCTGCGTGGGGGAGCCCCGGCAGCCACTGGCCAGGCTGCGGAAAGCACACCGAGTTTTTAGGCAACACAACAGGCCCTAAGGCAGTCAGCCTCAATTCTTCTTGGTTTCGCTGGCTACACATTTTTCTGATTATGACAGTAAAATATGTTTACTCTTGAAGATTAAAAAATACAGGAAAATATAAGGAAGAAAATACTAATAGTACAAATAACTAACTACTATTAATTTGCTGTATGTTTTTTTCACTTTTATTCTGTATACATACAAATGAGTGTATTTATATTCTTAGGAGTATTTTGCTCTTTTAACTTAATATTATGAGTAGTTTCTGAGGTCATTCTGTGTTTTGGGGAAACTAACTTTGCTAAGTGTTTACTGTTCCTTTAAAGGGGCGCGTCGTAAGTTCTTTAGCCACTCTCCTGTTGCTGGATGTTTAGAATGTTTCCAATTTCTTTGTTATTGTGAAAATGCTTTGCACATTCTCATAGGTGTGTCTTTATGTATATCTCTGATTATTTTCGTGGGTATAATGACAAGAATGCCTAGAATTGTTGGCTTAAAGATATTTGAATGTTTTTAAGGCTCTTGATATATTTTGTAAGTTGTCCCTGTCTTAAGGGTGTGCAGAACTAGCAACATGCTGAACGTTGGGTCCTAGATTTGTCGAGAGTAGGGTGTGGCTTGAAGGCAGGAGAAAGCAGGAAGGAGCCTGGGTTTGGAGGGTGCAGTCGGGGCCTGCATTGTGAGGGCCTGGTGTGAGGTGGAGAAGGAAGGAAAGAGGCTAAAGACCAAATATGAGAGGCATATTGGAAAAGTGAATCACAGGGCTTTCTGACAGTTTGATAATTAATTACAGAGGACACCAGCATTTCTAGTCTGGGACTCTGAGACAGTCGGGGGACTGCTGTCAGACATGGAGCAGCTGAGGAAAATCTCTGGTTAGTGAGGGGATGACGAGATCCACCTCAGATATTTTGAACTAAAGCGATATGTCCATGTAATGCCTCGTCCCCGGCAGCTGAGATCCAGGGCAGGTTTCCTGACTGTCCTGTGCCTTCACCCTCATCTGCAAGTGCAGGTGGCAAGAGCACATACCTGGCAGGGTCACCGTGAAGATAAAACGGGGGATGTGTAGGACTGGGGGGACCAAGGAGGAGTGGGCAAGGGGTATGAGGTGTTCATAGAAGAGAATCAGGCTTTTGTAAGTTCCAAGAGGTAGAAGAAACAGGTAAGAACCAAGATTTAAGACCAAAGGGGTACCCTAGGCCCCAGTGACCAGAAGCTGGAATGGTGTGAAGTGGGTCGTGGTTGGGGTGAAGGCAGATACGTCCGCTGCCTTTCACGGGCTGATGTCTATGTGGCAGTGTGTGTCACGTGCTTTAGACGCCCTCATTCCTCAGTGAGCCATCTCCGTTGGCCAGTGTCATAGATGAGGACACCACAGGGCCCAGCGTCAAAGCCAGACCCCTGCATTCCAAATCAGGGTCGTCAGGCTTCCAGAACCTCAACCCTGGCCTTCGGGGGAGGCAGACAGGACCTGGTGCCCATCTCATGGTACACGACTGGGATATGGGGGGAGAAGGCGAGAGAAACCAGGGTGCCAACAGTGCGCGCTCTGGGCCAGAGGAGAGGTGCCAGGCGACCGGTGGCCTTAGCCGAACGGGGCTTTGGCCCTTCGGGAGGAGGGCAGGCGGCGAGGTCTGGTGAGGAGCCTCCCCTGGCAGGAGGAAGAAGGGGCCCTGGGAAAGCAGGAAGGGGGCTGGGAAGGTGCCGGTGATAGCGGGCACCAGACGGAAGCGCGGGCTTCGTGCATAGGTACTGGGAGGCCACTGAGACTTGGGGACAGAGAAAGGGTGACTCAGCATCACCTGAGAAGATCAGTTAAGAAGCTTTTGGGGGATAACTTTTAGACTTAAAGTGATTCCAGACTTCGCAGAAAAGTAGCAAAAATAGTTCAAAGAACTCGCGTTCACCCTTCTCCCCGATTCCCTGGTTGGTAGCCCTGAATCACATGGCTCTGTCAGGTCCCCTCGAGGCTATTATGCTTTCCTGAACCCTTCCAGAGTTCGCTGCAGATATCGAGCTCCTCTGCTCCTGAGCACTTAGTGTGTGTTCCTCAGAACAAGGACGTCTGTTACAGGCCCACAGAACAGTCTTCGGAATTGACACACTGTCCTTACCTACAGCCTTGATTCCATTGTTACCAGCTATCTTAATCATGTCCTTTATTTAAAAAAAGAAAAGAAAGGGGGGAGGAGGGAACAGAATAAGAAACAATAACTCCTCCAGGATCATGCCTTGCATTTAGTTGTCTTGCCTGATAAGATCTTCGTAGTCCAGGGGTTGGGTGTCTGAGACCCAGAAGAGGAAGTGACAGTGGGATAGAAAAGAAAGGTTAGACACAGGTGACAAAGTGCAGGTGAAGAACCGGGCAGACTGCAGAACTGTGTAACGGGAGAGGAGAAAGAATTCTTAGAGTTTTCCCCCAAGCAACCACCCTGGTAAAGCCTTCCCTGATCCAACAGTCCTTACTTTAAGCCCAGGCTGCACCTGGGCCCGTTGCCCACCACCCCCGCACGCTCCCCCCAACATCCCTGTTCCACCCTGTCCACACGTAACTGCCGCTGTGTTTACCTTGCCCTGGTTTCTAGGTTTCCTCTCTGATTACATTTTTGAAATTCTGACGAGAGCCACAAATATCTAAGCATAATGGGAGGCTTTCAAGGAAACTTTACTAGTGCCCTGAGAAAGCCATCGGCTTAAAATGACGGGACTAGTGGGAATTGCTTGACATTCAGAGATTAGATCTGGGCATCTCTCAGGGGGACTGAAGGCTGCGTTCATCAAGCTCCTGGCAAGGGCAGAGCTGTGGGGCGAGGAGGCTGCTGGGAGGGGCGCCCTCCTCACCCCACCCCCAGTCCTAGGAAAAGGGTGGAGAGCATGATGACGGGTTATTCTGTAGTGTGGTAAGATAGTTAATGGCTTGCTCTGTCAATTTATCTTGTCCTTTCTATTAAAATAGGTTAAACAGTGCACCAGTTGAGGGATATTCAGAGCATGTTGGAAATAAGACTACCATAAGGATGACTTATCCGGAGGGTGCCCCACTGTCTGACTTCGAATATTATTCCAATGACTTGTTTGTTGCTGTTTTATTTAAGAGTGTTGACTTCAGCTGGCTTCAAGCAATGGTCAAAAACGAAACCCTGGTAAGCACTAGAAATTCAGCCATCAAAGTGTCTTTGTGAAAAGTGAGGGAGTTCTCTCCTTGTAATTTTACAGACTTTTAAGCAAGCACAGTGGAATGCGTACTTCTGTATGGTGTTTTAAATAACCACTCCCGTTGTGGAAACCCCTCAGAACTCCTTGGGGGGGGGGGATTGCTTGCTGAACTTGATCAAGAAACAGGTGGAAATCATGATCATTAATGAATGAGAATATCAAGTTTTAGACCAAAATTGTTATGACTAAGATTGATGACCCATTTTATTCACTAGACTTAAACTTATGTGTGATTTTTGGCTTTTTCTAGAAATTAGGTTAACATGGATTAATGTAAACCATTATTGAGGATATTCAAAAGAATAAACATGAAGTCTCAGGAATATTCTCAAAGCGCTTCGCTGAAATGGCTTTGACTGGTGGTTAAATTCACAGGGGCAAATATCCAGCATTCCAGAGGGGCGGGTGTGGAGATGTCCCTCACTTGGTCACATTCCTCTTTGTCTTTACAGTAATCAGTCACATTACTTTATAGTCCCACCATCATGTTGAAATAAATTTCAGAGGCCCACTGTCATGGAGTGTGTGTGCGTTTATATACACTTGCACAAACTAACTGTCCACAAAACTAATAGGACATATTAGACTTCTCACATAAGCTTCATGTGATGGAGACTTTGTATTTCCAGAGCGTGATTCTGTACAGGCTATTATGGTCTTCGGGACTTTCTACTGAGTAGTTCTAGTTGGAAGATGAAACACTTATACTCAGTTGCCAAGAGGCCTCACAGGACTGAGAAACAGAGTAAGTGGAGAGAGAGGACGCGGAGTGAGGGCCTGATCAGAGCCAGGCACTGACAGTACTCAATGCCCTCGAGTTGGCTGTCAGCTTGGTCTTCCCTGGGCTAAATGGTGGCTTTCAATCCTAAGGAGGCTACCACCTCAGGTCAGTTTCTTCCCCAAACAAACGAGGTGTTTCTGCAGTTTCTCTCCTTGTCCAATGCCACCCTTAAAAACTGGGTCCTTGCCCAGCTGGTGTGGCTCAGTGTTTGAGCATCAACCCAATGCACCAAGAGGTCGCCGGTTCAATTCCCGGTCAGGGCCCGGTTGTGGGCCCAGTTCCCAGTGGGGGCATGCAGGAGACAGCCAATTGATGTTCTTTCTCATTGATGTTTCTATCTCTCCCTCTCCCTTCCTCTCTTTCTAAAATAAACCAAGGAAAAATAAAAATCAGGTCCTTTAGAGTTGCTTTATTGAGTTGAGATACTTAATTTGCAGAGATTAATGACTTTGCCACACAATGCTTGCCCACAAGGGGTCACAACCATGGCTCGGCCTGATTCCCACTCTCCACTGAGCAGATTATTTAAATAGCCCTGATGATTGTTTGTTTTCTTTCCTTTAGCCATTTTGGGTACGACTCTTCTTTTGGAAGCAGGTGGCAGAAAAAATCCCATTACAGCCAAGACATTTCAGGATTCTGAATCCAGTTATTATTAAAGAGACTGCCTTTGACATCCTTCAGTATTCAGAGCCTCAGTCCAGGTTCTGGGGCCAAGATAAGGTATTGTTGTTGCTACTAAAGTTAACTGTTCTCTGTGTTTGAGGGGCGACATCTGTACACATTTCACTTAGGCTCAGCTGTGTACACAGAGGCATCTTCCAGCAGAGAAATCTAGTTCATTCGATGCTTCATCTGTGTTCACCACTCTGCACCCCGACTTCAGGGCTGTTCCTTGTTTAATTGGTCTTCCCCCTGGTGACTCCTCTCTTTAATATAGTCAGCACATTAACACTTAGGTCACTGAGATGTTATTTAAAATAGTCTTACTCCGGGACTCCCTATAACTAACTCCATGACACTGAAAGGTACTGTGATAAACTGGAAAGTTCTTTACATTTTAACTCTATGGGCCACTCAGGTGAGAATTGACACTTCTCATCAAGGTCAGCCACTAGAGCAATACCTTTCAACTGATGCCTGGTCTACACAGTGGGATTTTCAGAGTTCCTGGTTTTGCAGCCTAATTTGAGAATCTTTGAGCTATATACAGGCTGTTCACTGCAGTCAGTTCCTAACCGGCAATTAGCCCATGCTGCCAGCAGGAGGCGACAAGTCCTTTATTACTTATTTATAATCTGAATAGCTAGACTAGTGTCTTTTCTCAGTTTTTTTCTTTATTGGCTTTAGAGAGAGAGGAAGGAAGAGGGAGAGAGAGACAGAAACATCGATGCGGGAGCACATTGATTGGGCGCCTCCTGCATGCCCCCACTGGGATTTGGCCCACAACCTGAGCAGGTGCCCTGAATAGAAATTGAACCAGCGACCTCTTGGTGCATGGGTCGATGCTCAACCATTGAGCCACACCAGCCTGGCTAGACTAGCGTCTTTAAAACTTGTTATTAAAGTGCCCAGACAGTGTGTCTTGGTGGTTGAGCATCAGCCCATGCACCAGAAGTTTGCTGGTTGAATTCCTGGGTAGGGCACACACCCAGGTTGCAGGCTTGATCCCCAGTGGAAGTCTACTGATGCTTCTCTCTCTCTCTCTCCTCCCTTCCTCTCTCTCTAAAAATCAATAAAAACATCTTAAAAAATGTTTTTTAACTTGTTATTAAGGCAGTGGAAATCATTCTTAGCATTTTGAGCAAAACCTTTATATGTAAAGGAAAGCAAGCAATTTTGAAATAGGGACATCAGTGTTCACACTGAGGGCCTGAGATATTTCCTAGGATGCGGAGCTGGTCAGGGTCACAATTTGCAAACACTGAGTTAGACTCAGATGTAGGCAACTGATAGGCAGATTCGCAGGTTCTTCTATTTGCCGTATAAATCAAATTCTCATTATAAAGATTCTTGAAAACAACTGTGTAAATTGTAAAGCAAGAATTCTGTGGTTATTAAGGAAAACGAACACCTAAGTAGGCTTCTTGAAAACGAAACCTGTGATCAGTGATGGAGAATTCGGCTCGGGCTCGGGCTCGAGTACGCACCCAGCTCACCTGGATGCTCCTCGTGTTGAAGCTCTTTCCCTACCTAGCAGGCTGCTGTTTTCCTCGGATCTCTGTCCTCTTTGGTGCTTTCCTACCTCCGTCCACGGCAAGGCCGTGAAGGCCGTGTAGCTCCTGCCCTTTGCAGGGGTTGGTCCGGGACCAGCTTTCCAGTCAAGAGGCGGTGCATCCTCGGAGGAGAGCGGCCCCCTCTGCAGTGACTGTCGGGGTCTGTGGTTGGAGCCACCGAACAGGTGCTCTAGCTGCCCCGCCCACACGGAAGCACATCGGGGCCCCTAGAACAGGGCAATCTGTTCGCATCACTTTTAACAAAAGTTTTTTTTTTTTTAAAGACTTAGACTTTGACAAGATTCTTAAACTAAGTTAAAAAGAGGCTTTACTGCCCAGTCGGTTTTGCTCAGCGGTTGGAGCATCGGCCTGCGGACCAGAGAGTCCCGGGTTCGGTTCCCACTAGGGGCACGTACAAAAAAAAACAAAAACAATGAAAAGCTTAATAATGTCCTTGGGCTTTTTTTTAATGCTCACCCCATGATATTTTTCCATTGATCTTCAGACAGAGTGGGAGGGAGGGAGGAGAGAGAAAGTGAGAGAAACATCAGTTGGCTGACTACCACACAACCCCAACCAGAGCTGGGGGTCGAACCACAACTGAGGTACGTGCCCTTGACTGGACTCAAACCCACGATTCTTCCATCCGAAGGCTAATGCTCTAACCGCTGAGCAAGCCAGCCAGGGCTCCTTGGGCTTTTGTTGTTGTTGTTGTTGTTAACAATATTGGGTGGGGAGGCAGTAGGAAAGCAAAAAGTATGAATGGGGCAGAGCTGAGAAGTCTGAGCACTTAACAAAACAGGCTTTGGGAAAGAAAGCAGATAAAGGTGTTGACTCAATTTTTAGATTTTGAGTAGAATTTAGTTCTTAGCTTTTGGGTAGAATTATATGTGGGTGCTTTTTCTGGAGGGCAGTCTAGCAATATGTATCAATTTTAAATATTTAATTCCTGACCCAGTCATCTTACTGTAAAAATTTTAGTATCAGGAAATTAGAGAAATCTGAAAAGATGGGTATTCTAAGATGCTCACCATAGCATAATAGCAAAGGACTAAAACCAGCCTAAACATTCCTTAGTAGGGGAGTATATAAATACTATGATCTAGTCAGTGCAATATTGTGTGACTGTTAAAATTAAGAAAAACTAATGGATATGAAAACACCTCGATAAAAGCAAGAAAATTTTGTTGCAGAACAATCCCATTTTCATTTTAAAATAAAAGAGTATACATGGAGATGCACAGGAAAAAGCTTGGAAGTAAACAGACTGAAGAATGCCCTTCTCTGGAAAGTGAATCTGTGGAAGACTTTTACTTTCCACATTATAACCCAATTTATTATTTGAATTGAATATTTGTTAATTTTTATAGTTGACAAGATGGTATTTTTCTTTTGGATGAGAACAATAACTTAAAGATGACTTCTGATCTGAGAAAGTGCATGGACAGAAACGTCCTCATGCAGTGGCCTCCCACAAAGAGAGAAGCTGGCGGGTAATGATCTTGGGGGATAGTTTCTCGAGACAGGAAACTTGGTTTGGGTTGTTTGGGGCAGTTTCTGAGTTTCCCTCCACACGCTGCCCCGGGAACAGTGATTCCGTAACTCCTTCCACCAGCTCTGGCGGAGCGTTCCCGCCGGGCCGGGTGCCGAGCTGACCGCGGGCGGAGATGGCAGAACGCTGCCTGGGGTCCTGGGCTCAACAGGAGGAGGACTTCCTTCGGGTTAATTTCTCCCGGTTTCAACAGAGGGTGTCGATTAGTAGGTCAGCAGCAGCCTTCAGAGAGGGCTTAGACAGCCACAGGGCTTTTTCTGTCCCCCTCGGCCCTGTGTGCTGTGTCTGCTCAAGGCCGGGACGCAGAGCCCGAAAGCAGGAATTCCAGATTTGCAAGTGGCAAGATGTCAGCCCTGAGGAGGGAGTGCTGGTACAGTCAGAACCCAAGATGGTTTGGACATTTGGGGCCGGAAAATGTATTTGCCCAAACAGAGGGTGAGCAGAAACCGACTTACGCTGTACGTGTGAAAGTGGCCTGGAGGTATTACTTGCCAGAAAAGTCAGCGAGGACCTTAAGTGGACGTGGCTTCAGTCTCCACTGGCGGTCCTGCTGCTGCTCTGTTCTCAGGCAGAGCCCGTGCGCAGATGCGGCCAGGAAGGGGTATATCGCAAGATGACTGTGGAAGGTCCTTTGGCCACTTGTCCCCGAACAGACCTCAGACAGTTGTCATGTGAGAGAGGAAATGGGCTTGTTTTGCAATGCTGCTCGTCATATGTAGGACCAGTCGGCAGATGTTTTAGGCGGGGAAACTCTTAACTTGGCGTAAAAAGAACTGCCAAGCTGCCTCTGGGTGGTGTGTCTTATTCACACCACGGATCATGTTTTAGAGTCCAGCATCCTGACTTGGATGGGAAGTCCAAGTTTAGAATTCTGTGATACAGAGAACTGTGTGATGTTGAACGTTGCAGCCCTTACTGCGCGGCGCAGCATGTATGCTACTTGGGAAGCAGTGAATGGTGCCCAGACGGCTTTGTCTTTTTTCTTTTTCAGAACATCCCCACGATTGGTGTCATTGCTGTTGTCTTAGCCACACACCTGTGTGATGAAGTCAGTTTGGCAGGCTTTGGATATGACCTCAATCAACCCAAAACACCTCTGCATTACTTTGACAATCTCTGCATGGCTGCCATGAACTTCCAGACCATGCATAATGTGACAACGGAGACGAGGTTGCTCCTAAAGCTGGTCAAAGAGGGCGTGGTGAAGGACCTCAGCGGGGGCGTCCACTGCGAGTTCTGAACACAGGAAACCTCACTGAAAACGCACCCCTGACTCCGAGGGCCATTTTCCGTGGCTTTCTTGAGACATTTCGTCCTACAAATACTTTGAAGCGCAGCTGGTGGTTTTGACATTTAATTTAAAAGACAAAAAGCAGTTAGCTCTTCCCCCATTTTTTCCCTATTTATTTGAGATCAAAATTTTGCTTTTGCACAAAATTTTTTTTTTTATTTATTGACTAGAGAGAGAGGAACATGAATTTGTTGTTCCACTTATTGATGCATTCATTGGTTGCTTCTTGTACGTGCCCTGACTAGAGATCGAACCTACAACCTTGGTGTACTGGGACAGCGCTCTAACCAACTGAGCTATCTGGCCAGGGCTGAAGCACAGAATTTTGTAAATTAATTTTGGGAATTGAATTGGAAAGACTTTTCACAGAGAATTATGTGTAATGATGTTTTATTGTATTTAAAGACAGTTATTTAATTTGTAAGAACTCTGCCCATGTCTAGTGCACATAGAATACCAGGCAGGTCAGTGGAAGGAGACGGGAGGTCAGCCTGTGAAGAGAGCCCTGAACGCCTGGTTCTGGTCCTTGTTACATTGTTACAGTGTCGTGGGACAGATGTCAGAGCCACTGTTAGGAGGACCTGCTCAGGAGCAAAACCACTGGTACTGGGCCGGCCATGCTGCAGTGTGAGGCCTGGGCTGGTTGGAGAAGTTTGTGGTGCCTCTCTGTTGGTCTGCCTCCTGCCAGGAGACATAGGAATCAGCAGGGGGACTGACCTGAAGGTCCCCGGCCCGGCAGAGACGGAAGACATTTCCCGTGTCCTCTCAGCACTGCACATCTGCCTGGGCTGCAGACGCCACCGACCGTCTTCCCTGCAGTTACGGCAACTTTGAATTTCTTGAGAGTTTTAACTGCCCTTCCTTCCAAAGCACTTAAATGTTAATCTAAGGTGTTCGTTCCACTGTTAGTCCTAAGTGGCTTATAAAAATTAGGACAAAACCTCTGTTATCCAGAGTCATGGAAGAATAAACTGTCCAAGAATAACCATGTTTTCCGAAACACTGAAATGAAGTTCCATTATTATAAATTGCCTTTTTTTTTTGCATGCCTGCCTGGCAATATGTACCAGGCAGTGTGCTGGTCAAAAAAAAAAAAAGCAATACCAGTTTTGGAGGAGCTCTCAACAGTTCATTTGAGTGCTTTTTAAAGTCTCTCGGACTACCTGAAATGTCCTTACTGGATGCTGCGAGAGGGAGACCTACTGTGATGCCAGCGCAGAGGGGCCGAGAGTGAAGCCTGCCTTGCCTGCAGCGGGCTCCGTCCCAGACAGCTGCAGCCTCTTCTGCAGAGGTGGGTGGTGGTGGCTTCTTCCCAGAGGACAGGCTGGTGGAACAAATGTCTCTCACTTGTCTAGTCTCTGTCACATCTGCTGCGTCTCTGTGCTCCCTCCCTTGCTCCTGCTGCTGCCTCTGCCCTGGTTCGCACCTGTCTTCCCTGCTTCCGCAGCCCCATCCAGTCTGATGTCTGCCAAGCCTGCCGCCGCCTCGGCGTCTGCAGGTCCGGGAGCCAGGCCACAGCACTCCGAGGGGCCCGTGGCTCTGGGGCTCTGGGGCCCTGGGGCCATGCTCAGATTAGCCGGCGTAACAAAGTAATATTTCTCTGGTTTTGTGTTTTCTACTTTATAAGATACTGTTTATTTAAGAGAAAACGCTTTAGGATTCTCCCCCGTTAAATGACAATATTTGAAGATGGAGACTCAGGAAGATGGTCCACAGCTGTCCTGTGACTCGGGTACAGCCAGGCCTGCATCACACATCTCCAGTCCCTCATCCTTCAGGGGCTGGTTAACCCTGCCTTTAAAGCCAGGGTTTGTAACTTCCTCCAACGACCTTCCCAAGGGGAGCACCTCCTCGTGGGTTCACGTGGACTCATGTCCTTGCAAGGCTGCTAAAAAGGGTGTAGCTCAGTGCCTAGCAAATGTCACAGCTGGTCCGTCCTCACCCTCCTCAGCTGCGTGTCCTTTCTTGCATCCTTACTTTGCTTTACCCATGATGCTCAACTTTTAATCACTCGCAGGCAGTAAGTGTCCTGAATGAATGAAAAGGCACATTTTTTCAGACCTTTTATGGAGTCCCCCAGCCATTTGGAGTGGATCAGAGCCCATTTCAAGAACGTAGCACTTTGGTGGTTATTTGTTGATAATTACTGCTTTGCTTCAGAGTTACTCCTTCCTTACCCCCACCCCCACCACTCTTCTGGAAACACCTCTAGGTGCTACGGGTGTCACAAGGTTGGTCTTTAGGAGCTCAGCTTTCGCCATCACTCCGTCTTTCTGTAGGTTTGCAGGTGCACACATGGTTATAGTCATGGGTTCTGGGGCAACTCGGGACAACTTACACGTGCTGTGTATTTTAACGTACTTCTGACTGCAACTTTGAGCCACAGAAAATATCAGTGAACTTGAGGTTTTATTTGCTTTATTTTGGGTCCCCCCCCCCCCCCACAGAAAGCACATTCTCTCCAGAAATCTAGGCTGCCTTAGAAAAGTGCTTTGGGACTGGGATGGGGACCTCCCGATGACAGATGCCACGTTTTTATGCAAAAGCTCAATTGGGATCTAGACAACTTCATGTATTCGAGGTGTCACCTTTCCTGCTTAATTGCTCCTTTAGCATCCCACTGATTTTTTTCATGTCCCAAGAATGGGTTAATAAGGCTTATTTCCACAGAGCTGGGTGGGGGCGGTCTCATCACGTGTTGGACCCATCCGTTAAGTTGTCAGGCCAGCTCTCTGACGACTGCTTGTGTTGAACCTCTTGGCCATCAGCTCTTAGTCCGGTTTGTGTGGTAACGGGCTTTATTGTCAAAGAAAAAGCAGTGGTCACACCCTATCTCCCAGGTTATTAAAGATTTCTAAAACCAAGGGCCACTCTGTTTTAGCTATGTTCTAACCCCGGCGCCTTGGGACTTGATATCAAAATGATGGTTGAATTTGCCTTGTTGTCTCCAGAAACTTCCAGACCAGCGTTGCGGGAAGATTCAGCTATGGTGACTCAGTCTCCTCCTCAGCATCCGAGTGCGGGTTAATTTTTCACCTTTTCTTTGGGACACTTCAGTTAAGTCCATCAAGAAGGAAGAAAAGGAACAGGGCCTGTGATTGAGCAGAATCCCTCTCAGAATGAAGTGAGCCTTTAGTCTGCTTGAGCCACGAGACGCCGAGGCTGGCGCTCAGTCACACGTGGTGGCAGAGCCTCCCTCGGGGGACCCGTGTTCTCTCCGTGACCCCCTCGGCGCGCAGACAGGACAGACGACGGGAAGCAGAGCCAGTGTATACAGTGCACCCGAACACAGGCTCCCTGGCCTTGCCCTGGAGGTCGAGGAACCCTGGCCCAACCTTCTGAGTCTTTATTCTCTCCTTTCCCCCCGCCCAAGGTCTCTTTAGACAGCATGGATTTGTGCTCTCGAAACATGTTACTTATCTGTATTTACCTACAACCAGCGCTCAATATAAGACGCGTATATTGGGAAGGAGAACTATTCATTAAACATGCACACTCATATTTTATTGACTAGAAATTAATGTTCCCCCAAAGGAAATTATAGTCTTAGTAGTTTGACCTTCATTATTGAATTGATTAGATTTAACTAATTTCCAGTATTAAATTTCAACCCATTTAGCAAGAAGAAAAGCATTCATATCGGCTGGCTGTGGTGCAGCAAGAGTAAATAGCATACTATGAAATTTAGTCCTCACTTTAAAAGCAGATTCTCCAGGGAGCTGTGTCCAGACAGCGGGAAGGAAGACACGTTCATCAAGTTCCCGTCTGGAAGGAGTGAGAGGAGAGGGGTGCGTGGGTGTCGGGCCGCCTGCCCCCCGAGACGGAGATGGAGCCGCTGGAGCCTTGGTGCACGTGGATCTTCAGAAAATGTAGGCGCTCGAGAAACTGACTATTCAGCAGATACCTCATAGCAACAATACTGATAACTGGACACTAAAAATCTGTGACTTCTAAAAGAGCAATACCGTTTCTTCTGATACCTGGCTTATGTTTTTGACTTCTCAAAGACAATCAGTTCCAAGAAAAACTATTAAAAACGATGCGTGAGATCCTTGATTTGAAAAGAGCACTCAGTGACATAAATGTGACAGATGACAGAGCATGTGCCACGAGGGCCAATTAAGGGTAATTAAGAACAATAGCCGAATGCAGAAGTGACCAGGATCCTTGACATACCAGGATTTCCTATGAGGCAAGCCCATTTGGGGTGGGGAGAAATTGACCATCAGCCCTAGAGCAATGAGAATTTGAGAGTACATTTATAACTAAATTATAAACTCTAGTGACAGAATTTGATACTTTATTCCATCTATAGAACCTATAACAAAGCATTGCCTATTGTAGGTATTAAATATGTTTATTAGATATCTTTAATGGAATTTAAAGATGGGCAGCTGAGCCCTGGCTAGTTTGGCTCAGTGGTTAGAGTGTTGGCCCACTGACCAATGAGTCACGGGTTCAATTCCAGTTGAGGGCACGTACCTTGGTTGCAGTTCTCCCCTGGCCCTGGAGGGAACCAGTCAAGTGTCCCTCTCACGTTGATGTTTCTCTCTCTCCCTTTCTCTTCCTCCCACTGTATCTGGATAAATTGAAAAAAAAAAAAATGTCCTTGGGTGAGGATTGTGGGGTGGGGGAGATGGGCAGCTAGCTGATAGTCTAAGCATGACTACTGGAGAGCTCTTGGGTTGAGAAGCTAAGTGAAGAGTGTCGTATGCTAAGAGCAACAGAAGACTGGTAACTAAAGCAATAAATGAACACAGCCACTTCTATGTGTAATTGTCCTCGTGATTTAAATATTTTAAACGATTATGCCAAACGCTGAACAGGCCTGTTGGATGGCTGCGTACATTATCCATCCATTTTGAAAAATAACGTTACTGAAGTATCCAAAATAGGTGTGTATCTTACCTTTTCAAAACCTGCTGTGTTGTGATTTATAATACATACTTGGCCTTCCTCCCTTTCTGGCACAGAGCTCCCCAAACACTGGGAATTTCCTAAGTAGTGAGAGTGATAAAGGTGTCTTCCTAGGTTAATGAGGACTTTTGGAAGGATGGGGGCTGGTTGCCAATGGAGCCAACCATGTGTTTAGATGATTTGAACTTTCAGTCCCACCCTGTTGTGGAGCAAGAGAACCAAGAGACCACCAGAGCCAAATTAAAGCCAAATAGAGAGCAAAGCCGGCCGGCAACTGATCCCGAGTTCTCGGAGATCAGCCCCGACATCCAGCTACTTTTTT